ACTCCATGTTATCCGACACTGACTGCAGCTGGTCACGCAGCTCGCCGAAAGCGTCGATGATCAGACCTGTTTTGTTGCAGCAGAAGAAGAAGAAGTTGTTATCAAATGTTCAAGTAGTGATACCAAAGTTTATTTGTACCTTGAATAATGGCCAAGAGGATGACGATGACAAAGAAGAAGAAGGTAATGTCAAAGACGATGCGGTAGATTTCGTACTCGTCGCCGTCCGNAGACGATGCGGTAGATTTCGTACTCGTCGCCGTCCGGAGACTCAATCTCGTCGCCGATGCCGCCACCCGCTCGTACGCCCTTGTATAGGTGAAAGACGAAGCACTGCAAAAGGAAGATGACAGGTTTAAAAATTGTACTGATTTCAATCAACCACAAAAAGCACAACAAACCGTCAGCATATTGTGGCACTTCTGATCCGGCGGCTGGTCGTCCTCCTCCTGGACGTAAAACTTGCGGAAAAAGTTGAACGCAATGACGGTGTAGATGTACACGACGATGATGAGCAGCATGACGGTGAGCAGGAGCTGTGGATGACAGGAAAAAATTATCAACATGAGCCCCATTTTCTTATCAACTCCCTAGCCTCTCATCCCTCACCTGTTTGCCATTGTGCGTCACAGACTGCAGAATGGTCTTCAGCGAGGGAATGACCACGGCAATGTCGAGCAGGTGAGCCGCAAAGAAGAAGTAGCTAAAGTTGCCGAGGACCGATAGCAAAAAGTAGCCCAAGTTGTAGAGGAACACCTAAGGAGAAACAGAAAAAGCACTGTAAAAAACTCAAACGGAAACCAAAACAATCCAAACACTCACATTATCCATAAAGGTGACGCCCACCTTCCACACCTGATACTTCCAGTCGTAGTTGGAGATGGAGGCAATAAAACTGCCGCCGCCCTCCTCATCCAAATTAACACTGCTGCTCTTGCTCATGCCGAGCAGCTTGCTCAGCGTCTCGTAGTCGTACTGCTCGGCGTACTTTGCCCGCACCCGCTTCTTCACAAACTTGTCCCAGTAGTTGACGGGAAAGGACTTGGTGGAGATAACCAGCTTGTCCCAGGTGGCCTCGTAGTTGTCCTCCGGCTGGTCGGTGATGTACAGGCCCTCAAACTCGATCTTCCGGGCAATCTCCTTCTCGCGCTTGAAGATGATGAGCGGCACCTTGAGGTAGTAGTAGCCGATGAGCATGCAAAAGGAAAGGAGCGAGTGGATGACGGCCAGCAGCCGGAGCACCGGCTCCAGGTACTCGTTGCCGCCCATCTGCAGCATCTCAATGACGTCGTCCTCTTCGCCGCTGCCACTTCCGCTTCCGCCGCCGCTTAAATNTGAGCATGCAAAAGGAAAGGAGCGAGTGGATGACGGCCAGCAGCCGGAGCACCGGCTCCAGGTACTCGTTGCCGCCCATCTGCAGCATCTCAATGACGTCGTCCTCCTCGTCGCTGCCGCTACCGCTTCCTCCGCCGCCGCTTAAATTTTCCGCCGAGCCCACAGCCTCTCCACTTCCGGCTGGTCCATCATCATCCCCTACCTCGCCACTACCTCCTCCAAAGGAGGGCATACTAGTGACCTTGTAGAAGAGGAGAAAGACGTTGATGAGGAAGGCAATGACGAGGGCAATGGTCTTCACGGTGTACAGCGTCCTGGCGAGGAAGAAGACAAAGCGCGAAGTGAAACCGCTAAAGTCAAAGGGCAGCGATTTCATGCCGCCGCCGCTAGACTGTGACTTTCCGCCGTCAGGTCCAAGAAGNCAAAGGGCAGCGACTTCATGCCGCCGCCTCCGCCGCTAGACTGGGACTTTCCGCCGTCAGGTCCAAGCAGCGACGCCTTCCTCTGTTGAGGCGGCGGCTCCGCAAAGGTAATGGGCGTGTAGTTGCTCTCCGCAGTGCTGAAGCTGGGAATGCTCGCCTCGGTGATGGT